CTTCACATGGCTTCAAAGTGCATATAGCCTGGCACAAGCGCCACTTAGTGGGGAATAGCGGTTGTTGTTGTTGTTGTGTGTTGAGTGGGTGGGTGTGTGTGTGAGTTGAGTGGGTGGGTGTGTGTGAGTAGGTAAGTGGCTGTGTGTGTGAGTAGGTGAGTGTGTGTGAGTTCATATGTGAGTGGGTGAGTGTGTGAGTGATTCTGTGAGTGGGTGGGTGAGTGAGTGAATGAGTGTGTAGGTGAGTGAGTGTGTGGGTGAGTTTGTGAGTGCATGAGTGAATAAATTAGTCGGTGAGTAAAGCAGAGTGTGAATAAGTGTGTGAGTGGATGTTTGAGTGTGTGAATGTGTGAGTGAGTGAGAGAGTGTGTGAGTGAGTGGGTGAATCAGTGTGTGAATGTGTGCCTGAATGAGAGAGTGCGTGTTTAAGTGAGTGTGTGAATGTGTGATTGATTGGAGGGAAGGCAAATTCGAAATTCGGCTATTCTCCTCATGGAGCTTGGAGCCACCACAGCAGACACATTTGTGCTCTGGATGGGTGCGAGGGGCTGGTAACCCCTCCAGATTCAACTCACCTACCACTTAACAAAGTGCGAAAAAGAATTAAGCTTGTCCCGGATTCCCTAGGAGGACAGACCTTTTTATGGCCAGACAGGCCTTTTGCTGGCCAAACCTCAATTCATTGAGCCAGGAAACTGAATTTTTACCCAAAAACAAAAAGGAAAAAAGGTCACAGCGAGTTGCCACGTGGAATGTTCGAACGCTCACTGCAGAGGAGAGGCTGCAAATCCTCTGTCTGGAGCTGGACTGGTACCGCCTGTATCGCTGTGGTATTCAGGAGGTCCAGTGGACTGGTCTCTGGCTCCGGTCACCATGAGGGGTGAACAGTCCTCCACTTGGCGCAGGAGACTGCTAAACAACAGGCAGTGACTTTTCTTCTGAACAAAGTAATGAATGGCGCATGGAGCATGGCAGTGAGGTGTGGGAAGCTGTAAGCCCGAGGATACTGTGGGATCACCTTCCCAACAACCAAACGCGAGGAGTGGTGGTCGTGTTTACTTAAGCCCCCACTGAAGATGAACATCAGTGGAGGGATGCAGGCAAGGCCAGTGTGCCAGATGCCTTCTATGACCTGTCACAGGTGCAAGCTAAAATGGCTCCTCAGTATAGAGTCATTCTGTTCGGTAACTTTAATTCCCGAGTGGGTCGTAATGCTGGCACATGGGCTGGAGATATTGGAAGGCATGGGCCAGAACAACTATAAAACAACGGTAGGAGGCTGCTAGACTTCTTTGCAGCCAATGGGTTTGTAATGACTAAAAAGCTGTTCTGGCATTGGCGCATCCACCCAACTTCATGGATGCATGCCGGGTCCAAGAAAGAACATATGTTCGACTACATAGCAGATGGGGCACATGTGCTGGACACCAAGACCTATCGTGGAGCTGATCTGCCTACTGATCATTGGCTTGTCATCTGTAAGATGTGTCTGCCATTGTTCCACTCCGGTAGTGGTTATACATGCAAGACCCCATTCAAAATCATAGTGGCCTGGTCTTAGCTAGCTGATAAAAGTTGCAAGCGAGAATTTCATCATCGCCTGCAGCTGGGGTTTGTCATTGTCCCCCCGTCCTCCTGATGTCAAGGGGAAATTGGTGAAGTTCAGGACTGTGGCTCATGCAGCTGCAATGGCTGCTTTGGGTACACGGTCCAAACCTCCACAAAGACCCTGGCTTTTTGAGGAGGTGTTCTGGGTGGCTGAGAAAAAGCTACAGGCCCACTTCGAACGTCTACAGAATTAAACGTCAGAGAATTAGGAGGCTTACCACAGCCTTTGCTCAAAGATTCCGGAGAGCCGTTTGGTTGCTGCAATGATGGGTGGTGGTCGCCGGTTGCAAAGGAGATTGAGCCCGCGGTTACAAATCACTATTTAACGCAATCAAAAATTTACTTGCATCGCCAGGACTATCACCTTCATTCGGGGAAATAAAGCTAATGTGATCTTCTTCCCCTAGGGTACCAGTTTGCAGATTTACTGAGCATTTCTGTGAGGTCTCGTAGGATGTGAAATTACTAAGCCTGGAAAATATAATGGCGCAAAGTGGGATGATGCTTCTGATGTTCCGGTGCCTCAAATATTTGAAGTAGTCACCCTGCGAGTGGCTAGCTGAAGTGCCATATGTTGAGGAAGTACAGAATGAGATCCAAAGTCTGAGACCAGGAAAGGCACTGGGCAGAGATGATCTCCCAAGCGACATGCTGAGGGAGGGTGGTGTTTATGCACAGACTGCCCTACATGCCATCATTTTAACAGTCTGGACCACTGGACGGGTTCAGCAGAATTGTAAGTTTGCCCTGGTGGTCACTCTCTTTAGAAAAGGGACCAAATAGACTCTAACAACCACAGGGGCATCTCACTCTTTCGTGTGCCGGGCAAGGATTATTCAACATTGCCTTGCCAGGCACGCTAAGGAGAGGCTTGCAGAGCCCCAATGTGGTTTCAGGAAAGGGCGGTCCTGCGCAGATGCCATATTTTCTATCCGTCTGCTACAGCATAGGTGTAGGAAATTCCAATAAGATCTACATCTCTGCTTTATCGACCTTGTCAAGGCCTATGATTCCATCAGTAGGCCTGGGCTCTGGGTTGTTCTACGTGCTTTCAGAGTCACTAACTCTCTGCTCATAATCATTAAAGACATCCATGATGGTGAGTGGGCCCGGGTAAAACTACGTGGCCATTAGTCGAAGCCATTCCCTGATCACCTTTGTGTGCGACAAGTATGTCCTCTGGCTCCCACATTATTTAACATATATTTCGACCATATAGTTCGTGAAGCCTTCGATGGTTGTACCGGAGGAATTTCCATCTGTACAAAAGCAATGGGAGGCTGATCGATGCCCGTGTGCGGTCAAGGGATTGCTCCCTATTGGTCAACCACGTTATATATGCTGATGATCTGGTAATTGCTGCTCAATCAGATGAAGAGTTGGAGGCACTGTTGCTGAACCTGGAGCATGCCACTAAGAGGTTGGGACTTACCATATGCTCCATCAAAACTAAGCACCTGCCTGGGTATTTTGTATCATCAAACACTCCACACCCACAACTCCTAGTTGGTGATGGCGAAGTTGTGGAGAGAGTGGAGAGTTTTCCATAGCTGGGCAGTGTGCTCATGACTGGCTCCAGTTTAACAGCGGAGGTCTCACTCCGAATCAGTTGAGCAGCATTATCTTTTCATCAGTTGTGTAACACTGTGTGGAAGTTACCTGATCTGTCGCTCTACACGAAACTTTTGGGTCTGCTCCATGCTAGTTAAATGTGGACCCCTCGACTGGATTTTCTGTTCCAGTGAGAAACTTTCAGGCTGGCGTGCAAACGATTCATCCTGGGTTTAACCAGGTTGGATTGTGTGAGGAGCTCGCACATCCATGAACGATTTGGACACATTCCCGTCAGTGAGCTCCTCCGACAGGCAAGGCTGTGGTGGCTGGGTCATTTATCCCGCATGCCCAGCCACCACAAACCCAAGCAGCTTTTGTTCATCCAGATAGAGGGGGCTAAACGTGCACGACAACGTCTAGAGAAGAGATGGACTGATGCGGTATGAAAGGATGTGGAGCTGAGTGGACTTGCTGATGACTGGTACCATCGGTGTCAATGTCGGCCTCTGTGGAGGAGGCTCATGAAGGATCTTGCTACTGCGCAGTTGGAGGGAGTCGCCCTCCAGGAACAACAGAGGGCAGAGGAGCAACGCTCACAACATCAAGCAGAGCGCCAGGCCGCTAAAATCAGCAAGTTGACTAAGAAGGGGGTACGAGTGGTTCATATGCCAGTCAGTCAATCCATGGCACCAGCTGGGTTTGTCTTCTGACCTCCTGTCAGCGAGCCTTAGGCACTTCACGTGGTCTCAAAGTGCACCTGCCCTAGCACAGACGCCATGGTGAGGTCACTGTCACTGTTGGCGAATTTTAGTTGTTGTAGTGTGAGTGAGGGTGTGAGTGGGTGAGTGCGTTGAGTGTGTGAGTGAGTGGGTGTATGAGTGAGTGCGAATGTGCGTGGGTGAGTGAGTGCGTGAGTGAGCGAGTCAGTGGGTGAGTGAGTGGATAAATGAGTGAGTGAGTGTGTGAGCGAGTGAGTGAGTGAGCGAGTGGGTGAGTGAGTGAGTGAGTGGATGAGTGAGTGAGCGAGTGAGTGAGCGGGTGAGTGAGTGAGTGGGTGAGTGAGTGAGTGCGTGAGTGAGTGGGTGAATGAATGAATGAGTGGGTGAGTGAGTGAGTGGGTGAGTGAGTGGGTGAGTGAGTGAGTGAGTGGGTGAGTGAGTGGTTTGTTGTCCTTCACCCCACACCTCCGATTATCACGGTTGGCTTCGTTTGGTGGAAGAGAAGTTCATCATCCACACACTACACTATACACTACACTATACACTACGTATACACTACATACTACAACATATACTACAATTCTTTATACTACAATACACACTGCTATACCCTGCACTACTATACACTATACTACTATACACTACACTAATATATACTACTCTACACTATACACTACACTACTATACACTACATTACACACGACTCTACATACCGCAACATATACTACACTTCTTTAAACTTGAATATACACTACTATACACTATACACTACACTGCTATAAACTACACTACAATACACACTATTTACTACATAATACACTCCTTTTCTTACACTACACTATACACTAAACATCCTGCAATACTATACTATACACTACACTGCACAATACACAACATTAATCTATACATTACACGACTATACACGACTATATACACTACACTACTGTACACTACACTATACACTACAATATACACTACTATACACCACACTATACACTACACTATAGACTACACTATAACACTTAGTAATCTCCACATCTCTCTCTGTGTGTCTGTGTGCCTCAGTTGCCGTGTCAAAGCCCGATGTCTCTCCCCGTGACCCCGTGGTGCACGTGGGAGGCTCCCTGTATCTGCGCTGCGTCGTGCACCAGGGCTCCCCTCCCATCTCCTACTCGTGGCTCAGGGGGGACGCGAGCTCGGGGGGGAACCTCACAGCGACCGGGGTCCACACGGAGACGTGGACCCTGCACGACGCGCGGCACGGGGACACGGTCGCCTGTGAGGTCAACAACACCGCAAATATGACGACGGAGAGGAGCGACATCATGACAGTGACGACAGCAGCGTCCGGTACGGAGACCGTGGCCGTTCGAGGCTGAGTCGGCCTAGGGGGGAAGGAGGAGACGCAGGGAATGGTTCGACATTTTCGGCCCCGTTATTTGTTGTGAGTGGGAGTCGAACTCGGGTCTCCGCCGGGTTTGTGGCGCAGGGCAGCACTAACCGCTACTACACTACACACCTGCACCACACACGCCTACACACACAAAGACAAAGATGCACCGTATAGCGTCTAACAGACTGTTGGGACAAGTGCTGTTAGCAAGCACCTATGACAGCCGGCACGGCACACGAGGGGGTGGTTGGCCAGCACCATGCCATGCCGCCTTTGTCTCCCCAGTGGCGATGTTTATACACCGCACCAAACCAATCAGTTTCAAAGACAATCTTACCCATAAAAGTAATTTATTGTCTGTCTATGTGTGTGTGGACACACCTTGTGACGCATTTAACTCACACAACTGCTGGCTTTACGTTTCAACAAACTATGCACGCACGACTAAATAAGCCCCCGGTTGACAAATCGCGATTTCTTTTTCCCATCCATCAACTTTAAAGTAGTTAAATTTACAATTTATTATTTTTATAAGCACAGGGCGGCGCCAGAGCACGCATCTGCGCATGCGCGAGGACGCTGACTCATGGTCGTTGCCCCTAGCAACGCCCACGTGCAATCGGTGGGGGGAGGGGGGAATTCTCATTTGCGTTAAAAACTTTTTAAAAATACACACAACGCTGAGGAAAATTACTCAAAGTGTCATGTCCTCTTCTGCCCCCCCTCCCCCCCCGAATGTGGGCACTTACAAGTATAGGGTCGGTAAATACTACTATGATCGTCCTTAGATACTATTACTGTAGAACGGGCGGGGGGATGGTGGTGGGGGGGTAACACCACAGCAGCAGCCTGCAAAGGTGCCACCTTGGCCGGCTGGGAAATATAGGTGAGGCCAGGGGCTCTGCACGAGACTAGGCCTCACCATGACACTCTATGAAGTTAGTTCTTGATTTGAAGCTTTTGTGACTGCAGGAATCCATACTCTTTGGTTCTTTTGGTAAAGTCACCTACATGAGTATAACGTTAGTATTATAGAGTTGATGTATACTATTATAGAGTCGGTATATATATGAGACTATAGAGTAGGTAGATACTACTGTAGAGTAGGTAGATACTACTGTAGAGTCAGTAGATACTACTGCAGAGTCAGTAGATACCATGATAGAGCCAGTAGATACTGTGATAGAGTCTGTAGATATTTTCTTGATTTCAAGCTTTCGTGACTGCAGGAATCCATACTCATTGGTTCATTCGGTAAAGTCATGTAGGAATAAAATAAAGTAAATCACGACGTTTCGGGCGCGTCTGTCACCAGGTGGGAAAGCATGGTCTGCTGCCAAGGCAGACTGTTTTAAAAGGATTGAAATGGGTGTCGCCCAAGGGTCATAAAGAAGTGGCCGGGGTTAGTGATGTTAACGTGATAAATTAGCATGTAACTGTAGAAAAGGAAGAGAGCGGCCTCCTCGACGAGGGCATGGAAGAGGCTATGTTAATGTGAGAGATTAGCATGACATAACAGCTGACAGGCAGGTAGGATGGAAACATCACAGTCAGTGAAGACTTTACCTGGTTAATAACGTCCTTCCAATGATTGCTCAGTTTGTACCCATTCGCTCAGTTGAAGTTGTGTCTGTGTTTATATATCTGGAATACTTCATGAACAAATCTCTGAAGGTATCCGGTAGGTTTACAGAGTACCTCGGTCTTGGAAAAATACATTTTGTGTGAGCCCACGGCGTTAAAACAATGATCAGCAACGGCAGAGATATTGGTCTTACCGTGTTTCAAATCCGCCTTGTCTTCACGAACGCGGTCCGAGACATGTCGTTTCGTTTCTTCAATGTAACTGCTGCCACAACCACAACTTAATTTGTAGACAACAGGGTATTGCATGTCAGGACTCACATCCTTTACAGATGGGATTAAATCACGGATTTTGTGTACTGTGTTGAAACGAACCTGGATTCTGTGTTTGTTTAAGATATTGGAAATATTTTTGGTAACGTCTGCTATGTATGGCAAAGTGATGGTTTGGGTTGGACCCTCAGAAGGTTGTCTCCCAATGGCTGGGGAGGCAGCTTTGCGGATTGTATGGTCCGAGTATCCGTTGATCCTGAGGGCTTGGTGTACGTGCTCCAACTCACTAGCTATGTGGTGCTAGTCAGAGATGCAACAGGCCCTATGGTATAGTGTTTTTATGAGGGAATTCTTCTGGGCTGGATGGTGATGGGAGTCAGGCTTTAGATAGGCATCCATGTGGGTGGCTTTCCTGGAGACCGAATGTCCCAACGAGCCATCAGGTCTCTTCTCGATCAAAATATCCAGGAATGGTAGCTTGTCATTCTTTTCCACTTCCATGCTGAATGTTATAGACGGGTGTGTGGAATTGATGTGGTTGGGAAATTGGTTCAGTGCTGGCAGGCCAGATGACGAACGTGTCATCTACGTATCTCTTCCACAAGAAAGGACGTAGGGTGGATGTCTGGATGGCATCTGTCTCAAATTTCATGAAAACATTCGCTATCACTAGCGATAAGGGAGAACTCATAGGGGTACCTTCATTTTGTCCGTAAAATGTACCATTCCAGGTTAAGTATGTGTTGGTAAGACAGTGCCTTACCAAAGTTGGTGCATTTGGATTCAGTCTTTGTTGGACCAAGTCTTCAATGATTGCAATGGTGTCAAGTACAGTATAACGAGTTAAACTATTAGTAACTAGTACTTGTGTATGTATATGTTGTGTTTTTAATATAAGTTTTTGAAATATATTTCCCCCCCGCTCCTGCATCATATATTAGCAGAGCTTGTTTGTTGTTTGTTTGCTTGTTCACCACATTTACTGCGCATGGTTAATGCCGTGACACGATTCCTTGCAAAAGGTTACTGATTGGTGTTTGAACTTATTAACACCACTCCTCTTTTATTGCCAGAAAGGATGAAACCTATTTTTATACTATGATTATTATTGTTGTTTGTATTCATAGGAGGTGATGGCACGAGTACTCAGCACTACATCTACTGGTCCCCTGTTCTCATCATCCTGATGCTCATCGCGATCGCGTGCCTCATCATTTACCACCACCACAAAGGTGAGGAGTTTTGATCCTACAAAGACAACGTCCCCCCCCCCCACGGTGCCACCTGTGAAGTATTCGGAATGACGGCAGGAAACCACTTGACGGGTAGCACACTTTTTATTAAACCTTGACTTGTCACGATACAACGTGTGGTCTCTATTTCTCACACTACACACACTTCACTGACGCATGTCGTCACTACTCCCGCTACACACTCCACTGACACGTGTAGTTACTATAGCTCACGCTGCATGCTCACACTGCATGCTCACACTACACTCCAGCCCCGTAACGTCCGTGGAGCCTACAGACCCACCCCGGCTTGGGCGTGGGTCACAACCTCTGGGTCCCGAGAGCCGGCCCTCATACGGACGTTCGGCCCCGGGTCCCAGGGTCCCGCCTCTGGATCACACAGAGCCCCGGCCCTTGCAAGGACAGCGGGACTAGGTGCCGCAGGGCCTGATCTCTTCCTCCTCCGTCTTCAGTCTTCGCTGGTCACCAACCCCCCGTGCGCTTCTGCGCACCACCTTATATACCCCCCGCTCTCGGGAGACGGGGCGTATGCGGACCTCGACGTGAGCATCCCCCTTAGTTGACCAATCCCCGCGCGCTTGCCCCAGGATCCCATCGCTGTCAGCGCGCGTCCCATCGCTGTCCGCGCGTGTCACCGATACCCAGCCAATCACAGCCTCATAACCCCCGACCCCGCGCTGGCCCCTGATCCTTCGCCATCAGCGCGCGTCACCAACACACACAGCCAATCACTACGCGCTGGCACACGATCCTTACCCCAGCGCGTATCACCACTACATCACCCCCTCCCACATAGCTCGCAGCCGGCCCGGCTGCTAAACAACACAAGAGAACACAACATTAACACAACAAAAACCCCACCCCCCAGTGTGCCCCGTAACGCAACAACAACAACACAACAACACAACAACACAACAACACAACAACCTATGTACAAACCGACAAACAAGACAATAAAAGTTGACAACACACAATACCAGACAACAAGTTATGTACAAACCGACGAACAATACAATAAAACCAAGTCCCAAAAACGGAACGTGTCCAGTGTCTCTGTGATTGTCGAACCCCCCCCTTCCGCTCACTCCATCACCGGGGTGATAGAGCGGTCGGGCGGATGAGGAACGCAGTGACGAGGCGCTCCGGCCGCATCGGCTCCTCATGCGGCAGGTCATGAATAGTTACGCGACTTAGCGCGAGTCCGCCTGGCCGGTCCATCGTATGGAACGGGACACTGATGACCGTCCGGTGGCTCCGGCAGCCCTGGAAGGCGCGGATCGGGCCTGGAAGGACCGGCCGCGCTGCGGGGATCCGGCCGCCGGTGGTCGGCAGCTGTCAGTTCCGAGACACCTGGGAGCGGATCAGGCGGAGACATGTGAGGATCAGGCGGAGACATTTCCCCCCTCGGGTCGTCGGTCACGTCACATGCTCGGCCCTCACGACACAAAGGGAGGCCATATGGAGGCGAGAACGGTTTCAGTCGGGAGGGGTGGACGTACCAACGGCGCTTTCCCCATTTTATCTGAACACACTAGGGGCGTGCAACCCGCACAACCTCAACGGGTCCCCGCCATGGCTTCAATAATTTAGGCGACGTAGCCAAAGGTGCCTGAGGGCAGTGCAGCCAGGCCCTATCGCCTGGTTTCCAGTCGTGCACGGACACCTTCCGTGCACGCAACTGCTCGTTGGCAATTTGACGAGCCCGCGAATTAAGTCGTGCGGCGTCCCGTGCCTCGGTCAGCTTATGAATGTTAAATTTAATATGTTCAGCCAATTTCGAATTTGTTCGTGGCGCGGACAGTCCCAGCTGCGTTTCCATAGGCGGGTCGGCTTCCCGACCATACATCAGATAGAATGGGGAAAATCCCGTTGCTGCATGGGGGTCCATTCTATACGCGGCGAGGACCCCCGGGACCTGCAGGTCCCAGTCAACATGTGCCTCACACACCTGCTGGCACAGCATAGAAGTCAAAGTCCTGTGGAGTCGCTCCACCATCCCGTCTGTCTGTGGGTGGTACGGGGAGGTACGCACCTTCTTAGTACCCAATAGGTCGCACACCTCTTGCAGCAATTTACTAGAAAAATGTTTCCCTTGGTCGGTTAGCAAGCGTTCGGGAGCCCCCTTGTCCAGGACGTAGCTCTGGACAAAGGCGTCCGTCACAGCCGCCGCCGACTGGTTGGCGAGTGGCCACGCCATAGGCCACCGGGTAAAGTACTCGACACCAACCAACAGGTACTTATTTCCCCTCGGCGTGACTGGAAAAGGCCCCAAAATATCGAGCGCAACGAGCTCGTTAGTGCGCGAGACCTGATTAGATTGCAGCGGTGGATTTGACGCCACGGCCGGCGGTTTTCGTCTGGCGCAATCAACACACCCCTTTAGAATATTCACCACATCACTCCCCATCCCCGGCCAATAATAGTCACGCTGAAGCAGAGCAAGCGTTTTGTTGACCCCTAAATGCAAGAGGCGTTCATGTGCGGCCAGGACAACTTTCCCCCGCACAGCGGAAGGCACCACGAGTGCGTGCCGCCGGGACAAATTGTCCCATCTCATCAACAGGCCCTGCTTGAGTACCCAGGAGCCAGATCGTTCCCGGCCCTCCTCGGGACCCCCCACCCTGCGGCGCAACGCGAGCAGGGAGCTGTCAGCCATTTGGAGACGGCCCCACTCAATCAGCGACAATGAGAGCAGCGAGTCCTCTCCTTCAGGGGCAGCGGGAACATCACCGATCGGTGCATCCGCGGTCGCGGCCAACGCCCCCATACTTTCCGCAGCTGGCGGTTTACAGCGCGCCGATCCCATTAAGCACGCACATTTGTGACAAGGCGACAATCACGACAGGGCATCGGCGTTAGTGTGGCGCAACCCCTTTCGGTATGTGGTCGTGAACTGATAGTCCTGGAGGACTTCCAACCACCGTGACAATTGGCCCGAGGGTTGGGCAACCCGCAATGAATACTGAAGTGCCGCGTGGTCCGTCCGGACCGTAAAGTGACGGCCATAGAGGTATGGTCTAAATTGTTGTACAAAAAAAACAATAGCCAGCAACTCGCGACGGGTGACGCAGTAGCGCTGCTCCGCCGGCGACAAAACCCTGCTACCATAGGCGACCACCCTTTCGACTCCCCCGACGACCTGTGAGAGTACCCCCCCAATGCCCGTGTTGCTAGCATCCGTGTCTAGCAAGAAGGGACTTGTAAAGTCCGGATAACGCAAGGGCGGGGCACCCACCAAGGCGTCCCGGAGGGAGCAGAATGCGGCCTCCTCCTCCGGTCCCCATCGGAACTTGACTCCTTTAGCCGTCAGAGCGTGCAAGGGTTTTGCAATGGTGGCGAAATGCTCAACGAATCGGCGGTAGTAGGAAGCAAAACCGATGAAACTGCGCACGTCCGAAACCGACGTGGGCGTTGGCCATGAACTGACACAGTTCGTCTTTGCGGGATCGGTAGAGATCCCCGAAGAATCGACAATGTGGCCTAAGTACCTCACGGACTTACGAAGAAGGTGGCATTTGGCCGGTTTAAACTTTAATTTAGCCGATCGCATCTGCAAGAACACCCCTCTCAATCGCTGGAGGTGTTCCTCAAACGTTTTACTGAAAACAATGACATCGTCTAGGTAAATCAAGCAAGTATCCCATTGCAAGCCCGACAAAACCAACTCCATAAGGCGCTGAAACGTCGCAGGAGCGGAGTGAAGACCCATGGGTAACCGGTTAAACTGGAACAGGCCCCCTGGAGTCTGAAATGCTGTCTTGGGTCTAGACTCGTTGTCGAGTGGCAGCTGCCAGAATCCCGATAATAAATCAAGAGTCGAAAAATATCGCGCACCAGATAATGCATCGAGGGACTCATCCATTCTGGGGAGCGGATACGCGTCAGCCACGGATATTTTATTCAGGCGACGGAAATCTACGCAACATCGCAAGGACCCGTCTTGCTTTAAAACCAGCACAATAGGTGCTCCCCATGGACTGGAAGAAGGCGAAATAATGTCGGCCGCCAGCATATCGTTAACGGCCGACTGAACGTGTTCCTTTTCAACAGGACTCAGCCGGAAGGGATTTAGCCTGACCGGTGCCGCATCGCCTGTTTCAATATGGTGGTGCAACAGGTCCGTGCACCCAATGTCATATTTATGCGTACTGAAGACATCAGAAAATTCAATCAGCAACGCACGCAGCGCACTCAACTGTACCGCTGACAAATCGGTCGAGTCCGCGCACAGCGAATCGACCCATTCAAGGTCCTCCCTCGATGGATAGTTCTGCGTCGGGCTTGGATCAACATGCGCAACTAGGCGCTCATCCGCAGGGACCCGTGCCGCGTGAGCTAGCACAGTGCCCTGTTGAATAACGGCCAGCCGCGAACCGGCGTTTAAAACCATCACGAACGGGTCCTTGTCAGCCCGAACCAAAGTGTAAGCCACCGACAAATCGAGACCCCCAACAGCCCTATTAGAAGGACCCAAAAGCATGCCTTGTTCCGAGGTCTCCCCAACCAATGGTTTCCTCAACCGGAGGGGAATTAACATCTGTGAACCCGGGGGCACGTGCACGGTCTGCGTCGCCAGCGCTTGTATCGTAGCGCACGCCGTCCGAATTTCGGTAGGATTCGTCAAAAATGAAATACGGCGACCCGATGGTAGCTCAATGCAACGCTGATCGATGAGAATTTTAATGGGCATTTTAGCCAAGAAATCTGTGCCCAACAGACAAGGGACCGCTAAGGAAGAAAAAACGAAAACGGGTCCCGACAATTTAATATCTCCAATGCAAATGGACGCCCTAATTTGGCCGACAATGCCCAACGAGCCCCCATTAGCCGCGTAAAATGGCACGTCGACCGGGAGCAGAGGTCGACATTGGACGGGGAGAATGTTGTAAATGAGGTCTGATATAATAGTCGCCGACGCCCCCGTGTCCACCAACACCCTGACCTCGACCCCGTCAATGAATCCCGCAACGACCGACGAG